TCCACCCACCTATCCATCCATCTTTCCACCCACCCTCCTGTCTGTCCGTCCATCCATTCATCTATCCATCCATCATCCATCCCACCATCCTAAAACCTATCAAGAACTTACGGTGTGCCCACATGTCTTAGCTGCCTGGGAAAGAACAGTGAAGGACAGGAAGCCCCTGCTCTCATGGGGCTTTTAGTGGATCCACAGAGGAGAAAGCGACAGAGAGTCCATATAGGACTAGCGCTGGCAAGAAGATCAGGAGGAGGGGACAGTATGTGAAGTGAGGTGACACAATCAGACAGATTTCAGAGCATCGTGCTGGCTAGTGGAGAACAGAGCGGATCTCCATGCGGTAACTGGGGACGCAAGAGAGATGTCTCTGGGGTGCTGAGAAGGGGTTTCATTTGTACACATTTTGAAGTCAGGGCCAGCTGATTTGTTGGTCTGCAGTGTGAAGGAGTGAATGGTCATGGGTGGCATCTGCCTGAGCAGTCTGAAGGGAGGCAGCTGCCCTCTCCACCATGGAGAAGGCTGTAGGATGGGGTGGTAGCCAGAGTTTGGTTTGGGGACATGCTTTTGTTTTTGTCTTGGCGTTTTGAGACAAAGTTTCATGCAGGCTGGCTTCAAACCTCTTATTTAGCTGAGGAACTCCTGAATCTCCTGCCTCCAGGTTCCAAGTGCTGAGATTCCACAGGTGTGTGCTACCATGCTCAGCTTTGAGTTTGAGACGTGTTCCCTGTGGCAGTTAGACTGGAGGGTACATGTGCCAGCCATGGTGGAGTACAGTTAAGAAACCAAGGCTGCAGGACCCTGTATAGGTAACATATACAAGTGATGGTCAAATTTTCGAGCCTGGCTGTGGTCATCCAAAGACCTGCATGGAGAGACAAGCCTGAGCCCAGGCCTGTGAGTGTGTGGAGGCTGGCTAGGGGCATGGAGGGCAGCTAAGGGAGCAGAGATGAGGTGAAGTCAGAGAGAGCCTGCTGGCCTGGTGTCTAGGTCAGCAGAGCCAGAGGAGGACGCCGGTGAGTGGAGTGCCGGGCCAGAACACAGAGCCAGACCAGGTCGAAGATGAAAGGAGAGGAACCAGAAATACTAACCTATGTGACTTTCAAACTGTTGGTTCTGGGAAAGTTGTAGGCAGCTGGCAGAGGCACTAGTCAGAGGGAGAGCAGAGCTTATTCCAGGCTTTGCCCTGACAGAGGGAAAAAGCACAGCGTACTGTGGGCTGAGGAGGACACAGTGGAGAGAGGGGAATGGGCCCTGCAGGAAGGAGGGAATCTGGGACAATGCCACTGAGTGTTAAGAGGGAGATTAGAGCCCAAGAGGAAGCCCACACACAACTCATTAGCCCATCCGCCCCTGTTCTTGTGGCCATGAAGACTTTATCCAGCCTCCCAAGGAGGTAAGGGGTTAGCGATGGAGGGCCTGGGAAGGATGCAAGGACACAGGACTCACCATGGACCCTGATGGACCTAGAAGACTTAGTGAGCAGAGAGGGCATGACAGGTATAAAAGCCTGTCTGCGGTTCTGAACGAGCTGGGCTGATTTTTCTGGATATCTTTTGGGAGGCTTGCATTCGTTTGTTAGGCTGGCGCCCCTCAGCAGAGGCCTGTGTTCTTCACAGAAAATTAACAGAGGAGCAGCAACTCGGATAGAGGCAAACGGAGAATCAGTCCAAAAAAAGAGCTTTGAGGTCCGGACCCTCCTGACTCCCTCCGTTCATGTCTGCCAGCCCCGTGCTTATTTCTTGTGCCCCTCCGCGCTCCCTCTGCAGCTCCATGATCTTTACTCTGGCTCTGGGCCAGGAGCAGAGCGAGGGACAGCTGGGGAGGGCGGCCCCTGGCCCCTCAGAACACTGCTCCTTACTTGGCACATGATGGGTGCAGAGGGAACGTGCTGGTTCCTAGGGAAGAGGTCCCCTTCCTAGGGCCGGCACACCTCAGTGGTATTGGTCTAGCCTCTGCAAACGCCTGCTTCTGTAGGGAGAATGGGAGTCAATGAGAGGACTGGTGTGCACACTGCTTGCAGCTCAGCACACTTCTTCCTTCTTTTCTTGTCTCGGGCCTGGAGTCTGCGCCAAGGCTCCAACCTTCGCAGACCCGTTTTGGGTGACTGCCACAGCCCCAGATAGCCTTGGCTGTCTCTGAACTTCCAGAATAAATCTTTTCTCCCTCTCCTGCCCCATCCCTTTCTTTGCTATTCAAACAAGCAAACAAAAAACCAACCTGGAAGGGCTGGAGAGATGGCTCAGGAGTTGAGAACATGTACTACCGTTGCAGAGGACCTAAGATTGGTTCCTGTTCTTTTTCCTGTACCTGGCCACCAACCAGCTCCCAAATCATGACAGAGAGACTTACTAGTTTTGAATGTTTGGCCTTAGCTTACCTTTTTTTTTTTTTTTTCTTTAAAGACTTATTTATTTATTATGTATACAGTGTTCTGCCTGCGTGTATGACTGCAGGCCAGAAGAGGGCACCAGATCTCATTACAGATGGTTGTGAGCCACCATGTGGTTGCTGGGAATTGAACTCAGGACCTCTGGAAGAGCAGCCAGTGCTCTTAACTGAGCCATCTTTCCAGCCCCTAGCTTAGCTCTTTTATCTGAAATTAACCTGTTTCTCTTCATCTACCGTTTGCCTCGAGCTTTTTACTTGTTTTACTTCTGTATATCTTACTTTCACAGCTTCTTGTCTGTCTGTCTGGCAACGGTTGCCTGGCTTCTTGCCCTAGGTGTCTTCTTCATTCGTTTCTCCTCTCCTCTCAAGCCTAGAGTTTGCTTCCTGTTTATTCTCTCTGCCTGTCACCCCCGCCTATTCTTTCTCTGTCTAGCTATTGGCTGTTCAGCTCTTTATTGGACCAATCAGGTGCCTTAGGCAGGCAAGGTGAAGCAAATGCAACACATCTTACATAACTAAACAAATGCAGCATAAACAAATATAACACATCTTTGCCTAGTTAAAATAATATTCCACAACAGGCTCCTAGCATCCATGTTGAGTGGCCTGTAAGTCTAGCTCCAGGAGATATTATGCCCTCTTCTGGCATCTGCTGGTACTTGCACTCACATGCACATAGCCTCACAAAGACACACACACACACACACACACACACACACACACACACACACACACACACTTTAAAAATCTTTTAAAAACTCTTATCAAGGGGTTGGAGGGATGGATCAGCAGTTAAGAATACTGTTTTTCCAGAGGACCCAGGTTCAATCCCCAGCACCCACATGGCAGCTCACAACCATTTGTAACTCCAGTCCCAGGGGATACAACACCCTCTTCTAGCCTCTTTGGCCACCAGGTATGCACTTGGTGTGAAAGCAAAACACCCATACACATTCAAAACAAAACAAAACAAAAAACTCTGTTAACTGTATCCCTGTGAGTCCCATTAGCATAAAAAAATTCAAGTTATCAGAGCTTTGAGGATAGTAGTGATATTTTTAACTTAATTTTGAACTGATAACAAAAATTTGAATGTTTTTGATGAATATACTGTTATAAGGCTAAATCACACTAGTTCTGTGCATCACTTCACATGGTTATTTGTGGTAAGAACATTTAGTCTTGGGCAGTTTTCAAGTATACAATATTATGTTAACCGCAGTCATGGGGATGTGCACAGTCCTTGCCTCTTCCTCCTAACTCAAATGTTGTATTTTTTGGTTGATACCTCCCCATTCCTTCTTCCTCCTTTACAGCTTCCTCCCTCTCTCCCTTTTCCTGACTACACTCAGTTAGCTGATCAAGGCTGTAAACTTGGGTCACAGTTGGACCCAATCCTGCCTGTCCGTTAGCTGGCATATGGTTGGTGACACTCTGAAAGTGTTGGAAGGCTAGAAGACAGTACATTTAGTAGATATGGACCACGGTCACTTTTCTGGCAACTTCTGCTGATTCCTAGACATGCCTTGAGCCCCAGCCACACTAGGTTCTGTGCCAGGCCCCCAGAGCATCCCCCAAGCAGGAGGATCCCTCTGTCCTGGGGCCTGTTCTCTAGCCTGGAACTGAGGAGAGAGGTTTCTGTGTGGTAACTGCAAGTGCCCAGTCCTCCGGAGACCCAAGTCATGGTTTCTCTTTCCTTTTTTCAATAGGTGGGGGTTGGCATGAGGGACAGGGTCCGAGTAGTGAGGCCTGTTCAGGCTCTGCCAGGGACCGCGGACCCCCTGGGACATGAGTTGTAAGCAATGGACAAAAAGCCTGTGACAAAAGGCCTGTGGGAGCCTCGGTGAATAGATTAATGAGATCTCCATACGGAGGCCCCACAATGCGATTCTCCACTCGGTCCTTTTGTCCCAGGCTGAGATAATGGAGCTGGAGGAGACTTGTCCAGAAGGGGGCACCAGCCCTCCTCCACTATGGCTGAGTGGGGTCCAGGCGCCCCTTCTCTACTATGTCCCCCTCCCCAGTGGGTAATGGAATCTGGAATCAGAATTTCTGAGGTCTTAAGGGGCGTATAGGGAATAGAGAGAGGTGTGGAGACTCTGTGTGGCTGCCGTCTGTCCCCATCCAGCTCTGTCTAAATCGTGCAGCTTGATCTCTAAGAAGCCCATGAGGACTTTAGTGTAATGTCTGGGCTCCTCCCACGGAGCCAGTTGTTACTGTGAGGCACAGAGAGGTGAGGCATTTGGCTGGTGGCCATACAGTGACAGCGTGGGGGCTGCTGGTTAAGCTGTCAAAACTTGGGCCAGGCCTGGAGCCCAGGGGTGGGGGTGGGGCGCTCGTAGGCAGGGAGGCGGTGCAGGGCTAAAGCGGGTTGTGAAGGCTGAGACGCGTTTTTTTTTTTTTTTTTTTTTTTTTTTTTTTTTTTTTTTTTTTTTTTTTTTTTTTTTGGTTTTTCGAGACAGGGTTTCTCTGTGTAGCTTTGTGCCTTTTCCTGGAACTCACTTGGTAGCCCAGGCTGGCCTCGAACTCACAGAGATCCACCTGGCTCTGCCTCCCGAGTGCTGGGATTAAAGGCGTGCGCCACCACCGCCCGGCGCGTTTTTTTTTTTTTTGCAACCCTGGGCTTCCTCCAAATGAGAAGCGGGGCTGAAGGAGAAACTTTATTCTTCTATCCAGTAGTTCTGTAACCACTGACGGCCATACCCCATATGTGGAAAGAGGGTGCTTTACCCAGAGTCCCAGCTACCACTAGGGCAAGCCACAAAACCCCAACTTAGGGACTGTCTCCCAGCTCTGGCCATGTGCAGTTTTGTGGCTGTGTATCCACAGGGAAAGGAACAGCCTTTTGGGGGCTATTTGGCCAGGAGGATGCAAATTCCCCCATGAGTTATGAAGACCAAATCCGCACAACTGGGAGACAGCCATGTCTACAGGGAAATATTGAAGCCATTTTCTTAGGCCGGACAGGAGTGAGCACTTTGACTCTCTCCTCAGGCTGAAGGACAAAAGGGCTTGGAGACAGGCACTGCAGGATGACGTCCAGGACCAGAGTTTTGATTCCTATCTGCTGTGGATCTTGGAGAGAGGTAGGGCTCTCTCTGCAACAGCACAGGGCAAGCACAGAGCAGGGGTCTGTGACAGGGCACGAGGACCATCCTGTCCTGTCAGAGCCGGATGGAGACTTCCAGCCAGCTCCTTGCCCCAGCCCCCAGTGAGCCGTTTCAGTCACTGAGCCAGAGAGGGGTACTACTTGGGACTTACAGTTTGTATTGCTTTTCACACATCATTTTAAATCCTCAGTCCCCCGGCCTGTTAGGTATTATGCCCTTTAATCTGGAGAAAATGAGGTCCCATAAGGTTGGGTAGTCTGTTCAGGGACCCCTGTGAGTGTATGGATGTGACTTTGAAACAGGCCTCCCTGATTCAGGGCTCCACTCTTGACCAAGTCCTGGTTGTCCCTCACCCCTGGCTCTGATGACCCAGGGACTATAGGACAGAGTGAGTTGGAAGGAAGCGAAGGGGGAGGTTGTCTGTGTGGGAGCGTTAAGGGCTGGTAGGAGCGGGGAGTTAGTGATCTCCATCTGTGCCCGGAGGCCAGGCTGGTGTGGCTTAGTGGCTTAGGGATCACTCTGTGGTGTGTGTACAGCTTGGGTACACCACTCTGTGGTGTGTATACAGCTTGGGTACTCCTGCTGGGGACCTTCACTCTCAAGTGCACGTAACGCTATACATACTCTTGCCGTCTGGCGTGTCTCTGGGATCCTTTTTGCTCCCATTTGCAACCTGAAAGCAGACCCTGGAGCCTGGCCTCCCTACCCTTTTTCGTTTGGGCCCAGGCCTTAGGCACTCGGATGCAGACCAGATCTTTGTCCTTTCCTTCGCTAGGTTGGAGGAAATGCAATGCTCTAGAACTCAGCTTAGCAGAAGTTGCTGGAGGCATGGTTCCTTGCTTACCTGCTAGCCTAAAGGACATGTAGCAGATCACGGTCACTACACGTAGACAGCAGTCACCAAAAGAAGGGGTGCAGAGCCAGGCTGGCAGTTAGTGGGGACCCAGGGCCAAGGGAGGTCATCTTGGAGATGAGTGACACTCACGGTAGAGGAGGAGCTGGTATGCGGCAGTTAGGTTGGACCCATGGGGTCAGACCAGATCCTGGTTGGGTCAGAATGGGGATCTCCAGCTGAGGTGGGTAGACCATCAGGCTTTGGCCTACAAGGTGCATACAGAAGCAGGTAAAGGTGGAGATAAAGACGCAGGTAAAGGTAAATGGCTTCATTTCTCCTAGTAAACATGGAGAGAATCTGATCTAAAGCATCTGAGGAGACAAGCCAGTAGTCAGGTGACATGCCAGGCACCAGGTCTCCTCTCAAGAGGGCTGACTTCTGCAGCAGAGAGTGAGAATCAGGCTCAGAGGACGAGTGATTCCCAGTGGTACCTGGGGAGGACTTCAGTGAAGATTGCCTGGCAAGGGAGAAGGAAACTCGTGGGGACAAGTCCAGGCCTGGACCTTATTGTGCCCTTCCTCCCCTGCAGGGTGAGTGTGCTCCAGAGAGACACAGTCCTTAAGGTCACATGTCTGCTCTGTATTGATAGTCAAGGAGCCGGCACAGGTGAGAGTAAGTGGGGTCGGACCCTGGGTTTGATGGAGTAACAGGACACTGGCGTCTATGTAACTGATGCCACTTCCTCTGACCCTGTCGTGGGATAAGTCGTGACTTGATGTCCCAGGAAACTGCCCCTTTATCACCAGGTGATGGCTCTCATCTGCAAAAAACCCCTCAGCACATATCCCTGACCCCTTGTGTTTCTTCCTCCCGGCGGCTGGCACCTCCAGAACTTCTAGGTACTAGCGCATAGCTATGCCTTTTCTGGGTGGACCCGCGGGCCTTTTGGCTACGAGGTTGATAGAGATGTAGATAAAAGTGAAAATGGGGCCCAATTCACTTTCCAAGGCTGTTTCTTGCCATCAGTCATGCCACAGTCACAAGAGTAGTAAGAATGACCAGCCGCTGCCAGGATGGATAGCTGTGCAGAACTGGAGGAAACACAGCTTTCAGCCTCCTGCACACACCCCGACCCGTCTCTAGAAACCGCATTTCTTAGTCCTCTCTATAGGCTCACAGTGTGTAGTTTTGTCGGTGTGCACTGTACAAGAGCCCGGTATAGGTCTGTAGGTTGTGACATGTCTCCAGCAGGTGGCAGTACAGTGCCCAAGGGGGCCGGCTGTGGTTTGCTTTGCTTTGAGCTGCTAAAGTTGGTGTTAAAACTCCAGGGCTCCTTCTGAGCTGCAAGGAATGCAGGCGTGCATCACTGCAGCGGGCTAGCGCTGGCGTTCTGAATGTTCCTGTCATCCAGGATGCACTGCTCTCTGTAACTGTTTAAGATACCACAAAGACACTTGGTAGAGCTCCTGGGGGAGTCCTTCTCAGCCCGGAGAGGCATGTTCTCCCGAGCCCCAGGGCCCCAGGCATGCACCTCTATTCTCCTGTTTCACAAAGGATGTTATTTACTTGACTTCTCCGACTGGCTGAACCATCCTCACCACCCTTTAATCTAACTCCATGCCTAGCAAAGCACATAGCTTTTGCTCAATCCAGTTTTTGCAGAGAAGTTAGAGGTAATGCTCCCTAGTGTTTACCTGGCCTTCAAGAGCCTTGGGTTCAGTCCCCCCTGCAGCAAAACACACACACACACACACACACACACACACACACACACACACACACACACACACAGAGAGAGAGAGAGAGAGAGAGAGAGAGAGAGAGAGAGAGAGAGAGAACAATACAAAGTTTGCCAAAGGAAGAATCTGCTAAATAAACTCACCAAAAGCTTGGGCTTGAGAAATAATCACCACAGAACTTGTGTTTGGGTATGCCTCGGGCTCATTTAGCCTTTGAAATTTTATTCTTGGGTCAGGCTGGCTTACTGGAGCCATGTCCAATTGCTCAGGCTCTGAATGTCTTACTAGTTCAGGACTCGTGCCTTGATGGGTGCCAGAGGACAGTTCAGGGAACAGCCTGTTTTGACTGTCAATGGTGCAGACACTGTGACATTGCACAGATCGGCTCCGTGACCCCACACCCCAGGGACAGTTTTGTTCTCTCTGAGGACTGGTGTCTCGCAAAGTGAGAGATGTACCTCCCTCTTTATTTGGTGACTGGGAAGTTCAGAGCAAATTAAGGTTCACTTTTTTAACCCCTCCAGTGCCGGTGATAGAACCCAGGTCTCTGAGCATGCCAGGCAGGGACTGTACCAGCCCTGGGACACACTTAAGGGGACCTGCATGCTCTGTACTGCTCCGTGGACCCTAGCAAATGACCTGCCCATTCCAAATAATGTTTGTGATGCGAACAGGCAGGTTTTGGATGTAGCAGGCAGGAGTACCTGCCCAGACTCCATAGCTACTACAGATAGCAGTTGGCAGCATTCTAGTTTTAGGCAGAGACCCAAAGAAATCAAACGGCAAGGAAGTAAGTGTTGCTGGTTTAGCAACCGTGGTTTTTGGGGTTGATGGGAAGGATCACACTCCAGGGCACTTCTGACCTCAGGCCCAAAGTGGACTTTGGATCTCTTTGAAGGCCAAGGTGAAGAAAGAATCTTACAATGTCAACCTGGTTGGACCTCCTAGCTCTGGGCCTGCCTCACCTCTGCAGTGGTCAGCACATAGTGGGTGAACAGCAAGTGTCTGTTACCTACGAGCCTCATATGGGCTGGGCTAGCTCTTCTCCCAGCCTGGCCCTTCCCTCTGTTAAGTCCCAGTAATGACCTTTGTTCCACAGAGGGGCAGAGCTGGTGTGGTGATCAGTTAGGGCTAACCATGGCATTTCTGGGTTCTTCTTGGTGCCAAGGAAACTTATTTTAAAAAACAAAAACAAAGCCAGGCGCTGGTGGCACACACCTTTAATCCCAGCACTCGGGAGGCAGAGCCAGGCGGATCTTTGTGAGTTCGAGGCCAGCCTGGTCTACAGAGCGAGATCCAGGAAAGGTGCAAAGCTACGCAGAGAAACCCTGTCAGGAAAAAGCAAAAAAAACCCAAAACAACCCAACCAACTAACCAAAAATAAATAAATAAAAATAAAAAAACAAACAAAAACAAAAAACCAATTCTAGGTCCAAAGGGTGGGAGGGTAGCCTGCCATCATCTAAGTCTGGGGACCACCAGTGGGTCCCCAGAGCCACTGCAGGAGCTGACCAGTCACTGTTCTTACCTGCAGCTCTGTCGAAGATGCACTGGACACCAGAACACGCCCAGCCCCTCAACCAGTGGCCAGAGCAGCACCTGGACGTCTCCTCCACTACCCCATCGCCGGCCCACAAGTTGGAGATGCCTCCAGGGGGTCGCCAGCGCTGCCACTACGCTTGGGCACACGACGACATCTCCGCCCTCACTGCCTCCAACCTCCTCAAGCGCTACGCTGAGAAGTACTCCGGAGTCCTGGACTCGCCCTACGAGCGCCCGGGCCTAGGCAGCTACGGTGACGCCGCCTTCCTCAACGGCGCCAAAGGGGACCCGGAGCCCTGGCCGGGGCCGGAGCCACCTTACCCCTTGGCCTCGCTCCACGAAGGCCTCCCGGGAGCCAAGCCGGCCGGCGGGGGTGGGTCCGCAGGCCTCGGGGGCTCCCCGGTAGTAGCCGGGAACCTGGCTGAGCCGCTGTACACGGGCAACGCGTGCGGGGGCCCATCGGCGGCCACCGAGTACGCGACGGGCTACGGGGGCGGGTACCTGGCGCCCGGCTACTGCGCGCAGACGAGCGCCGCGCTGGCCGCGCCGCCCCCGGCCGCGCTCCTGCAGCCAGCCCCGCCGCCGGGCTACGGGCCCTCGGCGCCGCTCTACAACTACCCGGCGGCCGGCTACGCCGCGCAGCCCGGCTACGGTGCGCTCCCGCCGCCCGCCGCGCCCCCCGCGCCCTACCTGCCGTCGGGCCTGGCGGCACCCACGCCCCTGCCGGCCCCGGCCCCGCCCCGGCCCGCGCCCTACGGCTTCCCCGCCGCCGCCGCCGCCGCCGAGGGCGTGTCGCTCAAGCGCAAGGCGGTGGACGAGGGCGCGGAGGCCCGCTACCGCAAGTACGCTTACGAGCCCGCCAAGGCCCCCGCGGCCGACGGTGCCGCCTACCCCGCCGCGGACGACGCCGAGTGTCGGGGCAACGGGTTCCGCGCGAAGCCCCCCGGAGCTCCGGAGGAGGGGACGGGCAAGTACGGCGGCGGCGGCCCTCTCAAGGTCCTGGGCTCCCCCGCCTACGGCCCTCCTCTCGAGCCCTTCGACAAGTTCCCCGAGCGGGCCCCGGCCACCCGCGGAGGATTCACGGCGCCGTCGGGGGAGCCTCCCAAAGGTGTGGACCCGGGGACCCTGGAGCTGGTGACCAGCAAGATGGTGGACTGCGGGCCCCCGGTGCAGTGGGCAGACGTGGCGGGCCAGGGCGCGCTCAAGGCGGCGCTGGAGGAGGAGCTGCTGTGGCCCCTGCTCAGGCCGCCCGCCTGTCCCGGCAGCGCGCGCCCGCCGCGGACCGTGCTGCTCTTCGGGCCCCGCGGCTCCGGCAAAGCGCTGCTGGGCCGCTGCCTCGCCACCCAGCTGGGCGCCACGCTGCTGCGCCTGCGCGGGGCCGGCCTGGCCGCCTCCGGCGCCGTCGAGGGCGCGCGCCTCCTGCAGGCGGCCTTTGCGGCCGCGCGCTGCCGGCCGCCGGCGGTGCTGCTCATCAGCGAGCTGGACGCGCTGCTGCCGGCGCGGGACGACGGCGCCTCGCTGCGGGCGCCTCTGCTGGCCTGCCTGGACGGCGGCTGCGGCGCGCGCTCCGACGGCGTGCTGGTGGTGGGCACCACCTCGCGGCCGGGGGCCCTGGACGAGGCGACCCGCCGGCGTTTCGCGCTGCGCTTGTACGTGGCCCTGCCCGACGGCGCGGCGCGCGGGCAGATCCTGCAGAGGGCGCTGGCTCAGCAGGGCTGTGCGCTGAGCGAGCGGGAGCTGGCCGCCCTGGTGCAGGGCACCCAGGGCTTCTCGGGCGGCGAGCTGGGGCAGCTGTGCCAGCAGGCAGCGGCCGAGGCGGGCCTCTCCGGACTGCAGCGGCCCCTTTCCTACAAAGACGTGGAGGCGGCTCTAGCCAAGGTGGGCCCTCGGGCCTCCCCCAAGGAGCTGGACTCGCTAGTGGAGTGGGACAAAATGTATGGCTCCGGACACTGAGGATGGCAGAGGGGAGGCCACCTCCGCCTCAGGGGATGTCCTTGGCCAAAGGAGTGATGAATGTGGGATGGAAGAGGGGAGGAGGGCTCTGCCAGTGGATTTGTTCTTTATGGGAAGGAAAATGCTTCTGCCCGGCAGATCGATGCCATATGCACCGTGTACTCAGGTTTCTCCTATTTATTGTGGACGGGAAGTTCGCCATCTCCGCCGGGCACACCGGGCACACCCGACATGAGCTGGCACCAGGGCCTAGGGAACTCCCGCCCTCTCTCCACAATCCTTTTGCCTCCTTGCCCTCTGAGCATCCTCCTTCCCCGTTCTACCTTCTCTGTATTGACTTAGTTTCTCAAGGCATTGTCCCTGACCCTCCCCATACTGTCCCTGTTCCTTTCAGCTCCACCTTCCGGTCCCCACCTCATCTGTCGCCCTCCGTGCTTCTCTGTGGAGCTGCTGTGTGTTTCCTGGACTCTGCTTTAATCCCTCCTCACTGTTCCTCGTTCGTTCCTCGTTCACACCGCAGCGTCTCTTGACAGTTCTTTTGGCCCAGAGACTGAGAAGGGGGTGTAGTGAGCCCCACAACCCCCTCAGTACATTTATCCACCTGACATCTTGGGTCTAAGGGGTGGGAACAAGGAAAGGGGGGGGAACACCCAAAGAAGGGTTTTATTTTGTTTTTTTTTTTTTTTGGTTTGTTCATTTTTGAGGTTTGCCCCAGAAATGTAGGTTGCTTAATATTTTAGGCCTCTTATTTTTGTAAGATGTGTAGGATTTGCTGTTTTTCGTTTTATTTTGACAACTCAGGAAGAAACTGACCTCAGAAAGAATGTTAGACTTTGCCTGCTCTCCTGTTACCCCCAGCCCCACCCCAGGGGAGCAGATTCTCCCAGACCAGAGAGACTTGGGGCTTCTGAGGAACACCAGAGAAAAGCCCCAAACTGCTGTTCCTGGGATAGAAACAGAATGTAGCCAAGGGCTCCTCCCCAGGCCCAGCTCGGGAGCAAGAGGAGAGGGTGGGGACAGGGGACTCCAGAGGGCAAGTGAGCCTCGCTCCCTTATTGCCACTGTCTCCTGTGGGCTCTGTCCTCGGCTCCAGGTTGTCTGTGAAGCTTACAAGGGGCTGGGGTGCTCTTGCCCATATCCTGCCTCAGAGGTGACCCAAGTGGGACGTTCTCAGGCCACCTCACTGGACACCTGCTTGGTCAGAGGCTCCCTAGACCAGGCTAAGAGGATTCCCTCAGGAATGAAGATGATCTAGCCGGAAGTCTGGCTGGGCACAATATTGACTACTAGGAGCCAGGCCACCTGTTCCTCTGGGACCTGTCAGGAGGCAGAGCATTGCTCCGGAGAAAGTTCTGTGGGGAGTGTATTTACTTGCTCCCCTGGAGTGTTGGGCCTGGAGAGTACAGGGTGTTTTCCGGTGACAGAGGGACTAGAACCCTCCTCTTCAGCCCCCATTCCTCCTCCTGCTTGTTCCCTTCGTGGGGCTTCAGCGGTTTTAGCGCCTCAGACCATGTCACAATCTTTGGGGCAAAGAAGGGACGCTCCCCATCTTTGTCCCACCCTGGCCCCCCACCCCCGCTTATCCCTACAGTTCCTAGTCCCCTGTCATGAGAGATGTGGTAGGGGCCAGGGTGCTGAGGGCAGGTGCTAGCCGTGAGTGTGAACAGGAAAGTTCGGCCTCCTCTTCATCCTTGTTCTCTCCAAGCCTCTCTCTGGAGCCAGCCAACCAAGGGCGGGACTCAGAGTGCTGCCGCAAAAAGATCCTTGGTGGGAACACGGAGTAAAGGAGTTCTCTCAGGTCTGGGGGTGGGGGTGGGGTAGAGGGGTAGGGAAGAAGAGTTGGGGACCCAGCTGTCCCTTCAAGCAGCAGCACCTCTAGGGGGCTGGGTCGGAGTTCATGGGCCAATCCCCAGGGTCCCTACATTTCCTTTGCTGGGCTCTTTGTCTTCCCAGGTTTGGAAGCTTTGCACAAGAAGACAGCCCCCAGCCTCAGCACCTACCTCATAAGCACGGGGCAGGATGGCAGGGCAGGTCCAGCTCTAGCAATGTTGGGGGCATACCAAAGAATCCAGGGGTGGAGCGTGGGAGGGGCAGCGGGCCCTGCAGGGGAGGGCACACCGGCCGGCCGTCTACTCCCTCCGCTAAGGTTGGGGTGGGATCCTGTCCTTCAGCTGTGACCATTTCTACCTCATTTTGCTGTGTGTTGTACATGGACATATTTATCTCCTGTCTGATGATGCTCTGCAGTTGTGGTCTGTCTACCTCAGAAGAGACTGTATTTTAAGAGAAAATATTACACAGTATTAAAGTTATGATGTGTGGTATTTGGAGGATTTCTTGGGGGTAGTGGGATGTGGGGAGGGTTGGCTACTCAGGTTGGCTACCCTGGCTGTGGCTCTGGTTTCTGTTTCTTCAGCAAAAAGTAATGGGGCGTTGCTGTTCACTCCATGCCAGTGGTTGTCCATTGCTGGCCTGAGGTCACATAAAAATCCTTCCCAGCTGATTCACTGTAGCCCTAGACTCTGAAGTATGAGGAGCAGTGAAGTGTGAACATGTTGGTAGAATGAAGGGAGCTGAAGAGGAAGAGGGGCCCTCAGGAGCATACCCGCAGCCCTGGTTGAGGTGAGGGTCATACTTGTCTTCCACATGGTAGAGGGCAAGGTGTGGAGACATCCAAAGCCCAGGGTTTCGGGCTACATGAAGTCCTTTGTCCATTTCCTCACCATCTTTCAGTCCCAGTTATCTTTGACAGCTCATGATAGACTGAGAGATGGGAAAATTAGGGGCACCGTGGAGCTCTGTGGAGAGGCTGGGACCCACTGCTATCCCAGGGCTTTGCCTGCCAGAAGCAGCCTCTGGAGAGACAAGTTGACTCTTTCCAGGATTCAAAGAGCCCTGCCTTTTGGTCCTTGGCGGTCCAGATGTGCACTCCTGCAGTTTATCATGTACCTGTTGAATGATGACATTGTGGGGTGCTGAATAAAACCACGCTGCCAAGGACACCCCTGAGAACCCATAGTGGGAACAGTCTTCCAAACAGACCATATAAACATATAACTATAAGTAGGTCAGGGTGCCGGGAGTGGGTGGATCCTAGGAATCTTCTCACAGCTGGCATGGTTGTTTGGTTCTGATACAGTCACTGGGGACTTCTGTTGAGTAGACCCTGGTATTTCTAGAAGAGTGGTCCAATGAAGAACACAGGGCTTCTCTCAAGAATGCCCAAGGGGAGCTAGGAGGTGATGGTACACGCCTTTAATCCCAGCACTCAGGAGGCAGAGGCAGGTGGATCTCTGTGAGTTCGAGGACAGCCTGGTCTACAGAGTGAGTTCCAGGACAGCTAGGGCTACACAGAGAAACCCTGTCTTGAAAAACAAGGGGGGGGGAAGTGCCCACGAGGGCTGGGGAGACGGCTCAGCAGGCAGATGTGGAGATCAGAGTTTGGATCCCCAGCACCCGTGGAAATGCTGGCTTGATATGGCAGCTCACCTGTAATTCCAGCCTTTGGAAGGCTGAAGTAGGGGGTTCCCTCAGAGTAAGATGGCTAGCTGGATTAACCCTATCAGTGAACTCTGGCTTCAACCGAGAGACCCTGATTTGGTGAATAAGGCAGAGTGATTGAGCCCGTCAGCCTCAGGCCTGTACTAGTACACACACAGGTGCCCCCACACCACACACAGACACACGGAAAAAAAACAAAAGTACCCACAAGCGACAAGTCAGGAGCCTTCCCAGGCAGGAGGGGTAGAGGTCAGCAAAACATGGAGACTGGAGAGGGCATTGTTGACATCATTTATGTTCGTTACAAGAGCATAAAATGGGGACAGGAGTGAGGAGACCTGAGGTTGGATGAGTCAGGCGGGACCCCAAGCTACCCTCAAGCCTTTGCATGTAGGTGGACAGGTGGCTGTGGACAGGGGCCTGCTTCGCAAGAATTCACACACCGAGTCAACAAACCTTTGCTGAATATACTGGTCACTACTGGGGCAATGCGGGGACCTCAGTCTCATGGGTGAGGCAGTAAAAAGGTCTAGCTGCAGTGTGTTGAGCATGATGGTGGTGGGAGGAGACTTGGAGACGGGGCTATGATGTGTGTGGACAGTGTGTCTGACATGCCCTGGCTGCCCGAGGGCATGAGATAGCAGGGTCCACCATGGAAGCCGAATTGCCAGACTGCGGGGCCAAATCACAGTCAAGCCACCTTGGGAACAGATGTGTCAGGTAAGTGGGGGTCCAGTGTGTGGGGATGGGAGAATTTGCCCAACCCTGAGAAGTTGAGGGTTTAATCTAGCAGACGTGAGAGCATGCCGAGAGAATCTGGACCTTGGCTGCAGAGCGTCCAGCGCTTCCGATAGAAGTCGAAGGACAGCAAATGAATTAGACTAGGGTTTCAGTGGGTTTAGATTAGGCCCTTGACTATAAGGCCCGGGCTGCCACCCAATCCCCGCCCTCCACCGGGGTGGGGGGCTGCTAGGAGCCGCTTTTCCCTAGACTCTGAGCGTTCAGATCTGTGCCCCCCCCCGCCCCCGCGCGCGGTGGCTGACTTCTCTCTGGCAGGAGCGTCGGCGTTCCACGAATGTCCCTCGCCTCTGCGCCGCCACAATCCCCAGCCTCGCGGCATTCGGAACCCCTCCCTCAGGCCGAGCCATGGCGTGGGCGCTGGTCCTGGCGCTCTGCAACTGGGCGCTGGCCCCCGCGGGCGCGCTGGACGCCATGGGCCCTCACGCGGCAGTCCGCCTGTCGGAGCTGCTGACCCCGGAGGAGTGCAGCCACTTCCGATCGCTCCTCGAGGCGCCCGAGCCCGACGTGGACGCCGAGTTCGCCCGGCTCTCTGAGGACCGGCTGGCCCGGCCCAAGCCGCCCACAGCCTCTCCTGGAGCGCAGGGCACCGTGGGGCAACGGCGGCGGGCGGCAGCCGAGCAGCCGTCGGAGGGACCGGAGGGCGCTGGACCGGAGTCCAGCGAGGTGTCCGACGGCTGCCGCGAGGCGCTGGCGTCCTGGTTGGCCGCCAAGGCCCCGGCCCTGTCGTGGGACCGCGTGGCCCGGGCCCTACGGCGCAGCGGCCGCCCCGACGTGGCGCGGGAGCTGGCCAAGAACCTCCACCAGCAGGCGGCGTTGCAGCTGCGCAGGTCGGGTGCGAACTACGTGCAGCCGCCGGTGGCCTCGGCCCCCGCCCCGGCCCCGCGCGAACGTCGCTCCGCGGTCTCCGTGCCCTCCTGGGACGATCTCGAGCTGATCGTGGAGCGCCTGCCGCAGCCCCCGTACACGCGAAGCCCAGCAGCCTGGGTCGGGCCGCTGGCGCTCGGCCTCCTTGCCGGCTTCGTGGGCGCACTGGGCAGCGGGGCGATGATCACTGTGCTCACGCTGTGGATCACGGGCGGCGACGGAGACCCCGCGCGGCCTTGCGCCCCCGGCCGGCCCAGGCCGGCCCCCGCGCCCGGCGGCTGGGAAGCAGAGCCGCTCCTGCCCCCGGCCTGGGGGCCGCAGGGACCCTCCCCCCACGGCCTGCCACTGTGAACCCCGAGCAGCGCCCCCACAGCAGCCGCCCCGCTCTAAAGTTTCCAAAGGCCGTGGAGGGCGCAGTCTGTCGCCGAGTGGATGGAAACGGGCGTCCTGGGCCTCGGGAGCCGGCCAGGGGTCCCCAGCGCTGCCCAGCGCCCGCCTGCCGAGCCACGCTTTTGGACACACTCTTGTATCCATTCCGTGCCAGGAAGCTGCTCACCTCTCCGTGAGGGGCGCGGTGGGGACTCTTGAACCCAGAGCCGACTGGCAAGTCTGCGCCCCAGAGGCCGGTGCGGGTGCAGTAAGGAGCTGGGGCCCGGCTGGGGTGTGCCGCGCTACTCCTCTTGAAGGCCCAGCAGGAACCTGGCACCTCCCCCGCCCACCTCCGAAGGATGAGCCAAGCCCTGGAGAACCTGCAGCCGGCAGTCCTAAGGCCAGGGGCTTGGGGCGAGAGCCGTGACAGAATGACAAGCCAGTCCAAGAGGAGAGTTGAAAACAAGATTGACGTAACCCTTTATTGCAAATTCTAAAGTAAAAAGATGTACAGTACAAAGTAAAATTGAAAATTCAGACTATAAACTTCCAATCCGCTTATACATTCTCATTTCTCAAGCATTTCTGCCATTTCCGCATAAACAGAACGGGGACGAGTCGAGGCGGGGAAGGAAGGAGATACAGCAAGGGGGAAAAAAATTGTAAGAATCACGAACCCCAGAAGCAAGTGCAAGGAAAGACATTTCTCGACCTGCTGTCCTGGTGATGAGAAGCGGGGATGGGCTGCAGCAGTGCAGTTTAAAATGGCTCTCAGAATAGCAGCGTTTATGGTACTAGTTCATCTTCCTCAAGTCCACAGTATGCTTTGCCCTTCCCTGGCGCCTTGGTCTCTGTATCTCAGATCGCTTTACAAAACACCTAGTTAAAGCCTCACAACACCCCTGTGAGGTAGGTCAGTATTATTACCCCCATTTTACAGATGGGGAAACTGAGGCACAGAGAGGTTAAGTGACTTGCCCAAGGCCACACAGCGAGCCAGTGGTCAAGCTAGGGATGGAACACAGTTCTGTCCCTCTTCTGGAACCACTGGACCACGCTCCCCTTTACCTATGTACATTCTTCATACACACACACACACACACACACACACACACACACACACACACCACATGTGCACACCTGCCCACTTCGCCCCACTTAGCCTCTATGTACAGCAAACAGCAGTGGGCAGGGGCAGGGGCAGGGGCAGGGGCGCCTCAGGAGTGTTTTGATGGAGGAAGCCTTAAGAAGAGGATCCAATTAGCACTAGCCCGGTGCAAGTCTTGGCCTCACACCCAGACTTCCTCTTTTCCCGACGCCCCCTGCCCCCCCCCGACTGACTGGCCGGCAGCTGATTCTCTAGGGGGTGGGGGAGTACCTGAAAATGAACGAAGCTTTTTGCAAAACTTTGGGCAACATCTGAGAAAAGAAAGAGGCATCGTTCCAGAGGATGCCCAGGAATCAAGTCACTAAGTCCGAACCCTCCACAGAAGGCCCGGAGGCTGCGGCTGAGGACAAGGATGGGGACTGACCTACCAGCCATCTCTCCAGTCAGCTACTAGAGTGGGCACTTCAAGACCTCCTGAGTGTCCCTAGACCAGGAGACACAGCCTGGAGAGGGGTGTCCCCTCCCCTGCACACACGTGAAGGGGACGGCCCCAGTCTGCTGGTCTGGTTACGGGAATGAATGAAGGGCAGGGCCCAGCACTAGCTAGTGAGCGGAAGCTGCTCGGCTTGCACTAGCTTTGGGGGATGGGGGTAGTTTTTTCGTAAATCATTTCCATGAACGAGGCAGAAGTTAGGCCAGGCCAGCTGGGTTGGCTGGGGTCATCTCTGGGGGCTCTGCTGGGTGAGACAGCTGAGGGAGGGGCCCAGCCTAAGGGGTAATGCCACATGCAACCAGCCGCAGGGGCCCGGGGATCAGGACCTGGCTTTTCTCTGCAGTCTCTACTTAGCCAGAATTGGGAGGCTCTGGTTCCTCGTCTCCTTTTCCCAAATGCTCCAGGGTCCCAGCTCCCAGACCCCTTCCAGAACTCGAGAATGGGCAAGTCAGACACACACACACCGAGACAGGCTTCCCTTGTGTGGTAAAAAGGGCCATTTTTATTTTGTTTCCTTTTGGCTTATAGTAATGGTCTGTTTTGAAATCACATCTCGTTTAGCGCAGCGCTGGCCTCCATGCATTCACTAGCACTCTACTGGTCGTTTACAGTTTACGTTGGTTGTGGAGATCAAATGCAAGGAGCCCTTTGGGCTCCGTAGTGCCGGGGGCCCTGCCAGGGAGCTTGTTTCTCTCTGCCCATAGCTTCAAATGCTTAAGTGATGGCGAGAGCAGGCCACTCTGGCTCTCACCCTCGGCTCGGCTTCCCAGTCTCCTCACCCTAAGCCACAGGGAAGTTAAGGAAGAGGGGAAGTGTTTTCATGGTATAACCAGCAGTCATGTTGGCTCCTGCTCAGGGGCTTTGGCTCTGCGTTGTTTTAAATGAACAGCATCACATGACTTTTTGCTTTTTGTCCTTTTTTTATTTTTATTTTTAAAGGAGGATCGTGGAATATAAATACTGCACCAAGGACCCGGCTACAAAAAAATAAATATTTATATTTATATATCTATATATATATATGTGCAGTGGTACTGGCTGCTGCTGCTCTTTGATTGGTGGGCTTCATGAATATTTGGCAAAGCGTCGCCACTTGCTCACTCTGTGAGGACACGGAACAAAACAGAACGGAACCAACTCGAAACTGCCATAGCCGATTGATTCTTTAGGTTCGATGCCTGTTAACTGCGGGTGTGAACTGCTGGTGATGGTGTGGTTCACAAGAAGTGTGGAGCAGGATGGAGAGAAAGCGAGGGAGGGGGAGTGGCCAGATGCAGGGAAGGAGGGGGAGGAGCAACAGGTGGGAAGGTCTAATCATTGGGCGGAGGTGTGAGATCCCGAGGCGGGCCGGAGGGAGGCGGGAAGGAGGGAGGCAGGGAAGGAGGCAGCAGCCTGATGGGCTGGGTCAGGAGGGTCAGATCTAGGCTCTAGTAGCTTAAGAACATTACTAGCATGGCGCTTGGTGTTCCTAGCAAGATCAAATAGCTGTTGCCCATCTCAAGATCTAAGAACAATGATTAAGTTTAGCCAAATCTTGCATAGAAGTGGTTAGAATTTATTGCACATTGGAACAAAAATATATATTTTTTTGTTGTTTTGGAAAAGACCATTAGCAATAAAAAATTTTTTGTCTGTCTGTCTGGTTGGGGTGTACATTGGCTGACAGCATCTAGTTCTAAGAAGAAAGGAAAGTATAAAAAATAAAAATAAACATGACAATGGCATAAGCCAGAAGCCATTTCCTATTTAATAAGTTAGTAATTTGTATTTACAAAAGGCATGCCAATAAAATAAAATTATATGTTACAGTATTTATAGTTCTCTTAAAAAGAATAACCACACACGTCAGCTTCTGTTTTGTGCTGTTTACGACGTCACGTGCCTGTACGTGGTTCTCTACATTCGCCCCAGCAGCAGTGGCGTTGCCACACTTCCCGAGCTGGTCCCGGCACACTTAGGACAGCAGGACAGTGTCTACCGGTCCCTCAAGAGGAAGCTCTGCTCACCAACTGGCTGTGGTTGGTTCTATGCGAAACTAGTCAAGTGGACTGTGAGATCACATCCAAAGTGCTGCCACCGCAAGGCAGACTGGTCTAACGTGTCTAGTGGTGGACTGCTCGCTTCCCTCCACCCTGTGCTCAGGAAGGACGGTGCTGACTTGGTTCGGAGAGACTTTCTAACACTCAAGTGCAGCATCTTGGCTTTGAAGCCTTGTGTTCAGGAGAGACACCCTGGGCTAAGAGCTGTCTTCTGCAAAGCAGGAGATGGGATGGAAGCTATAGCGCTCTCCCAGAAGTCATCCCCTAAGCAGAAAGCAAGGTGGGCAGAGAGGAAATGCCAGGGAAGCCGCGACACCCAGCAGAATGACGAGTCCCTTTCTCACAAAAGCCAGTGCAGTGACAGGACCAAGTGGCTGGTCCAGAGTGGCCCCACCTCCACCTCAGGTCCTGCTAGTTACCGTCATTCTGAAGACCATGAACGGAAGAGCCCGCAGCCCCACCCCAAGCAACACTGCTGCCCTTACCCAGCCCTGGCAGCTGGGAAGGGAAGCCCTGCTGGTTGGAGGAGGGTGATGGAGCACGTGAATCCCTCTGCAGGTTTGGAACCCCTGGACCCCTTTCCACATCTCCCTGAGCCTGAGAAAAGCCATAATGCAGACAGACATGACACCGAATGAAGTGAGCACCCCATAACCCCCAAAGAAAGGTTTCTGTAAGTCCCCCAAAGGCCTCCTAGAGATACATGCTACTAGGAATAGCACTTGTATCTCTACCTCAGTGACAGTTCTCCAGGAGGAAGGCTAAACAATCGTTAGAATATTGCAAGATACAAATGAACTCTTTTCCTATTTGTTTTTTTAGCCCTAGGATTTGGTTTTACAGTGACATTAATAGTACAAGCCATTCGGGGCCAAAGTCTCCCCATGTACTGGACAGAGCAGCATTAGATATTTACCTTGCAAAATGTGCAACAATGGCTGTATGTTGAGATGTCTGTTAAACATGTACACACAACGGATCCATCTGCTTGTTGGGTTGGATTGTTTCTGTTGGTGGTGGTGGTGGTCAATTGGTTAATTATGTTTCCCTACCCAGAGGTGTATGAAAGACTTCTAAGAACTCAGAAAGAATTGCAGCCGGTATGGAACTCTTACCATTTCTCCAAATACAGTGAACGGTGCAAGGCTGGGTCCTGTCCAAAGGCTGACCCAGTGCAGGGGACAGGATTAATAGTGTCTTGTGGTGTATGGATCTCATGCATGACTTCTGATCACGGCATGCCATCATGCAAATCATTTCTACGCATTGAACGAGCACAATATTTGGAATTGGCCTGAGCAAGTCCTCCTCAGCCTGAAAATACCTGATTGTTTCCCCGACCCATCTCCAAACCACGTGACGCCCATGTGGAGAAGATGCTGCTTATGTTAAAGAAAACAGACAATTAGTGACATAGGCTGAATGTGTGTGTGTGTGTGTGTGTGTGTGTGTGTGTGTGTGTGTGTGTGTGAGTGTGTTTCTTTTTGCTGCTTAGCTTAACTAATGTAAGAATGCAAATATTGTTTGCATGAACAAACAAACTTTTAAAGTGATGCTTTCTGCTTCTGAGAATCAACAAATGAAAAAATAAAATCCATTTGGCTGCGACGGCAGTCTGCTGGTCCCGGCAGCCGCCTCTGTTCTGTATCCTGTTAGTGTAGTCCTAAGTTGCATTGACTGAGTGTGGAACATGCAGTAACCACCTGCCCAAGCGATAGAAAATCGTGAGTCCAGGGAGCAAGGTCCTTTGCCCTCGGCAGGTCACTGCTCCAGATGCAACCGTGTCCCATGTAAGCAGACTATGTTTGGTATAGGTCTTCCGGTCCAGCGTCTCCACAGCTGCTCTGCATCCGTGAGATTCGGGAGTTTGTAAACAGGCTTTCACTTGCCAGGGCTAAGCGGGTGTAAGCTTCCCTTCTCGCTGTCTCTAACACTTGGACTCTCGGACCTCTTTTCGCCTCTTGGCTCTTTCCCTTCTTCCTTCCTCTGCCCGCTGCTGCTTCTCCTTGTCAGGTTTTGTCACGCTGTCGTAGGAGGGGAGGGAGGCTGTGGACGGGGTGCTTCCCCTCTTCTCCGGGTGTGTGCCTCCATTCTCCAGCTTATTGGAGGTGATCTTTCTGCAGATGAAGCCCCGCCTAGCCAAATGTCCCCTGTAGGCACGCTGCAGGACCACCGCGGACACCTCTTCCTGCTTGCGCCGCAGAGTGGTTGTGATAGGCTCGTAAGACACTTTGGAAGGATTGGATGCCACGAACCGCTCCTCCATCTGCTGCCGCAGGATGTCCAGCTCCCCACTGTCTCCTAGGACCCGCTTGGTGAAGGCGAAAAGGATGTCCAAGCAGTGGATGCGATCTCCGCTGACCATGGGCAGGTCCATGGCGATGAGCTCAATGGTGTTGGGCTTGGGCACTCGGAGAGGATGCTCTAGGGCGTCTGCGAAGTCGGCCAGCTTACAGTACTCGATGAACTGGGTGGCGTCAGGGTCAAACTTCTCCCAGATCTCGTAGAAAGTCTCAAAGTCATCCTCACTCAGTGGATCAGCACTCTCCTCTGTGGCTACACTAAAGTTCTCCAAGATGATGGCGATGTACATGTTCACCACGATCAGGAAGGAGATGATGATGTAGCTGACAAAGAAGAAGATGCCCACGGAGGGGTTCCCGCAGTCCCCTTTGAAGCCGCTCCCTGGGTGTTCCTTGTCCAGGCTGCAGTCAGGGGGGCGGTTCAGGATTGGCAGCAGCAGGCCGTCCCAACCAGCCGAGGTTGTGATCTGAAATAGGCAGATCATGCTGTTGCCAAATGTCTCAAAGTTGAACATGTCATCAATTCCAGCCTCGTGCTTGACATATGCAAAGTTGGACATCCCAAAGATGGAGAAGATGAACATGACCAGGAAGAGCAGAAGGCCAATGTTGAACAGGGCAGGCAATGACATCATTAAGGCAAAGAGCAGGGTGCGAATCCCTTTGGCGCCTTTGATCAGACGCAAGATGCGCCCAATGCGGGCCAATCGGATGACTCGGAACAGGGTTGGGGAAACGAAGTATTTCTCAATGATATCAGCCAGGAACATTCCTAAAGGAGGAACAGAGGACGCCATTACTGAGGTCAGAGACACCCTTCCCTCCTTTTACCTGGCATTAGGAAATGTAGAAGTTCAAAGGGCATGTAAAGTGAGTGCCTTTGACTCGAGCTGAACCCTCAAACTAAAATAATCACACCTTCTAAACATACAGAAAAGTAGAGAACACCACGAGCTGAACCCTCAAACTAAAATAATCACACCTTCTAAACATACAGAAAAGTAGAGAACACCAACATAAACTGTGTTCAAACTTAACAGCGGCCAGCACCTAACCCTCAAGGACCCAGAAACCTCAGCAGCTCTGGTGTTATTACAGTTTTACTATGTGTGAATTCATAAAAAGCAGGGTGTCCTCCATGGTTAGGAAACGATACAGGACTATCTTTCTAATTTATAGGTTTCAGAGGTTGATTTTTTTTTTTCCTGCAAGACTGGTCCCTCAGATGAGAATGACTTTACATTATCCCTCCCTGTGACCCACACAAAGCAGATCTGTGTTTTCCTTCTGGAAGATCCATTTACTCAGCGTGTGCACACACAGCTTTTCAAATGCTCTCTACTATGCCATCGGGGTTTCTAAACTATGAACAGGGAATAAGAGGTCCCGGTTCCCCCTGAGACACACTACCCTTTGACTTCCATGTCCTAATTATTCTGCTAATGCTGCACATTTTCGATGTATCTTATTCTTGGTTTGCTCCTCACCCCCCATCTCCTCACGAGGGTGTTAGCCTCGGAGATTAAAGGAGGCTGTCCAGGGTAGCCTTCCACTTGGTGCTCTGAGATTGTGAGCGGAAGGTGTAGAACAGGAACCAGTTTCGAAGCAGGTAAGGTGCAGGAGGGGTTGCATGCAGAAGAGGAAGCGAATGGACAACCGGGTGTCCTTCTGTGTCCACTCCTATGTGACCCACCTCAGGCAGACCGCTTGTCTTAAAAGAGCAACAGAGGGGACTTCAAGGAAGGCTGCAGAAGGAGGAGGAGATGGAAGGGCCAGAAGGGAGGGCTGGAGGAAACAGGGCCACTCTCTCCATGCAATGCTGCTCTCTGCCTTCCACGTGCTAGGAGACAAGATGAGCAGCCACGCACACGAAGCTCTTAACTACTGAAGTGTCTCTTAGCCGTAAGAATTCGTAAGTATTGTGACTTCAGCTGCAGAGAGCTCAAGAGTCTCTCATTTGAAGGTTTTAAGCCAGGAAAGAGGGGCTGGAGAATGGTGCAGTGCTTAAGGGCCCTTGTTGTTTATGCAGAAGACGCAGGTCTGATTCCCAGCACCCATATGGTGGCTTACAACCATTCGTAACTCCAGTTCCAGGGGATCCAACATCTTCCTCTGGCCTCCGGGGTATTGCATGCATGTTGTGCATGGCCATACATGCACACAAAATACCCACCACAAAATAATAAATAAAATAAAATTTGGGGCTGGAGAGATGGCTTAGTGGTTAAGAGCATCCACTGCTCTTCCAGAGGACCTGGGTTCAATTCCCAGCACCTACATGATAGCTCACAATTGTCTGTAATTTCAATTCTGGGGAATTCGACACCTTCTTCTGACCTCCTTGGATATCAGTCAAACATGTGGTGCACATATATACATGCAGGCAAAACACATAAAATAAAATAAGAAAGCCAGGAAAGAATCTCGCTTTGCAGGAAGGGAGGGAGGGTGAGCCTGGAGAGTGGCAGGCACTCTCCTCCTCAGAAGCTGTGATCGATCTCCTGGGGCAGGTGGATCTCCTGGTGGGGGTGGATCTCCTGGGGCGGGTGGATCTCCTGGTGCGGGTGCATCTCCTGGCGCGGGTGGGCGCGAGGCCCTCAGCCGCCTCCTTCCCTCCCCTTTGCTTCTCAGTAATGTAAATAAAAGAGGTAAGGCTGCTTCAGACACACACACACAGAGGCAGGCAGGCTGCTGCAGACACACACAGGCAGGCTGCTGCAGACACACACACACAGGCAGGCTGCAGCAGACACACAGGCAGGCTGCAGCAGACACACACACACACAGGCAGGCTGCAGCAGACACACACACACAGGCAGGCTGCAGCAGACACACACACACAGGCAGGCTGCAGCAGACACACACACAGGCAGGCAGGCTGCAGCACACACAGGCAGGCTGCAGCACACAAACAGGCAGGCTGCAGCAGACACACACACACATACACACACACACACACACAGGCAGGCTGCAGACACACACACAGGCAGGCTGCAGCAGACACACACACAGGCAGGCAGGCTGCTGCAGACACACACACAGGCAGGCTGCAGACACACACACAGGCAGGCAGGCTGCAGCACACACAGGCAGGCTGCAGCACACACACACAGGCAGGCAGGCTGCAGCAGACACACACAGGCAGGCTGCAGCACACACACACACACACACACACACACACACACACACACACACACACACACACACACACACGCAGGCTGCAGAGAGCCCACAGCACTTGACAAAGGCATGAGGGATGAGTGCTGTCCCCAGCAGAACCATGAAGCAGGCGCTCAGGTACTTCACAGACCAATTTATTTTAACTCCTCTTACTTAAAAAACATATTTTTAGTACATTTTATTGTTTGTTTGTGTGTGCATGTGTCTGTATATGCTTGTGTGTGTCCGTGTGTGCATGATATGACACTTATGTGACGGTCAGAGGACTCTCCTTCCACCAAGTGGGTTGTGGGATGAAGCTCGGGCCGTCAGGCCTGGCGCAAGGGCCTTTACCCACCGAGTCCTCTCACTGGCCCTCCTTTTACCTTTAAAAGAGAATTTCTATGCTTTTCCTTTCTGAATAAATTAACAGTTGATCAAAATCTCCACATTGAAAGCCTCGGTATGGTTGTGTTACAGGACGGCACAACCACGGGCGTGACTCGTCTGGGCTTCTGTCGTCTTTAGTGTTTTGGCAAAAGTGTCCATGTACGGTAGGCAAGGGTCACACGTTTCAGAGAAGCTGGGAGCATGGATTGGCTGAGGTTGGCCTTCACTCAGAGTTAAACGCTCGCTCTCCAGCCACAGGTCTCAGGAACCTGTCTGGGCCTCAGTTCCCTTGACACTGTCAATCAACACACAGGACATCATAGTGGCCATGGCTTGCCGCGTGTTCCATTAAGATGTGAGCTACCTTTATTACTCGCACAGGGCGCTGCAGTCAAGTAGAAGTGGGCAGTGGGGGGCTGAAGAGGGGCTCAGCATTTGAGAGCACTTGCTGCTCTTGCAGAGGACCTGGGTTTGGTACCCAGAACCCACATGGTGGCTCACAATCACTTGTAACTCCAGTTCTCAGGGATCCAACACCCTCTTCTGACCTCCACAAACACCAGGCACACATGTGATGCATATATACATATGCAGCAAAACACTCATAAACATAAACAAGTCTTTTTTGTCTGTTTAAGACAGGGTCTCATTATATAGTCCTGGAACTTGCCATGTAGACCAGGCTGGGCTTGAACTTACAGAGATCTGCCTGCTTCTGCCTCCCGAGTGCTGGGTTAAAGGGTGTGCACCACCACACCCTGACGTAAGTGAGTCTTCAAAAGAGAAAAGAAAAGCCGACAGTATGGCAACCAGACTTCTTCACTGCCAGACTCCCCTGGGGTTCATCTCAGAAGGGAACAGGCACAGTGACTTTCAAAAGGGAATCTTGGTGTCCTGTCACCGCCAATAATTTAGCTTAGGAATTCTTTCCTTGGGGGAAAAATGTCCCATGACTCAGTGTTCCACACGCTAACACATTTTTGGACAAAACTGGAGGGCATGGGTTAAGAGGGGCCATCTGCCTGTGGTATCCACAATCACTAACCTCAGAAAACCAGGTGCACCCAGTGACCAAGGCACGGACACAGCACCTGGGGTGTCTTTCAAGAAGGCAGCCTGTTCTGAGGACAGCCAACAGGCTCGTATTTCTTTCTTCACCCACCAGGACTTCACCCCGGCTGTGTTTTTAGGTTGAAGGAACACGAACTTTGAGGCCACCTTGACTTCTGCTTCTGCTGGGTGACCGGGTGACCGAGCTGACAGCGAAGTTACGACGAGGTAGTTCTGGTGCTGCTGTAAGGTCCCAGTGAGGCAACTCGGGGAGGGCTCTCCAGCTGCACTCACCCACAGTGCTGTCTCAGGGCCGGCACTCTGTGACCACTGCCCCCAGAGGGCAATCACTGTGAGTGTGTACCCGTGCGTGAGTGTGAGCATGTGCGTGTGTGTGTGCATGTGTGTGCGTGTGTGTGTGTGTGTGTGCGTGTGCGTGTGCATGTGTGTGTATGAAGACCACAGGTCAACCTTGGGTGTCATTTCTTAGGTGCTGCCTACCTTGTTTTTTGAGACAGGGTCTCTCACTGGCCTACAACCCACCAAGTGGGCTACGCTGGCCAGCCAGTGAGCCCAAGGGATCTGTCTCTGCCTCCCCAGTGAAGGGGTTGTAAGTGTGTACACCATCCCCAGAACATGGGTTCTGGGGATCAAGGCCGGTCCTCATATTGGTACAGTGGACTGACTAGTTTTACGTCAACTTGACACAAACTAGAGTTATCAGAGAGGAGGGAGCCACAGCTGAGAAGATGTTTCCACAGGCTGTGGCTGCAGGCAAGCCTGTAGGGTGTGTTCTTAATTAGTGATGGATGGGGGAGGACCCAGCCCATTGCGGATGGTGCCATCCCTGGGCTGGTGGTCCTGGGTTCTATAAGAAAGCAGGCTGAGCAAGTCATGGGGAGCAAGCCAGCAAGCAGCACTCCTTTGTGGCCTCCGCATGCATCAGCTTCCTCAAGTTCCTGTCCTCACTGCTTTTGATGATGAACTGTTACATGGAGCTGTAAGTGAAATGAACCCTTTCCTCCCCAAGTCGCCTTTGGTCATGGTGTTTCGTCACAGCGACAGAAACCCTAATGAAGTCGGACGGTAAATCATTTTAGAAGCTGCGCCATCTCCCCAGGCCACCGCCACATTTAAAGAACAAGTTTCTTTTGCCTTTCCTGGTAGACTCTGAATCCCTTGAGAGCAAATCAAATTTATCTGTTGCCTCTGAGATGCAGCAGCATTTACACCCCAGAGGGCTGGGGGTACTCAGGACACACACACACACACACACACACACGCACACACGCACACACGCACGCACGCATGCACGCGAGACCCGCGTGATCACGTGATCTGCCCGCAGGCCTGTGGAGACTGGGGAGTCCACACAGGCAGGACACGAGAGCACCTGCCGCCCTGAGTAATCCCCAGCTCTCCCTGGCTCTCGGAGGTCCCCCGCCCAGCTGGGGTCCTGCCCATCCTCGGACCCCGCCCACTCACCCACGATGGAGAGGATGACCACCACGAAGTCGAAGATGTTCCAGCCAATGGTGAAGTAGTAGTGCCTCAAGGCAAACATCTTGAGCACGCACTCGCAGGTGAAGAAGATAACAAAGACCAGGTTAATCCAGTAGAGGATGTTCTCCATCTGCTTGCTCTGAGTGTCCGTCTCCACCATCATGGTCACCATGTTAAGGCAGATGAGCATCATGATCACAATGTCAAAGGCTTGCTGAGTGACGAAATCAAAGACGATTCCCTGGATTTTGTTCTGCGAAGGAAAGATAGGAAAGCGTTCACGAAAAGTATCCATGGAAACCATTAGACCCATAGAGCCGCTGCCCAGCCCTTCCTGTGCCCCTTGTCGCCTTCTCAGGGACAGTGGCCGGTGTCCCTAGTATCTGTCAGGGGCACTGACAGCCTGCATCAGGGTAGCTGGGCTCAGAGTGTTCTCAAGCACCATCCTGCTCTCCTGAGTGCATGACTTCACCACACCTGGAGGCCTTCTTCCTGGCCAGCTGCTGCCTTAGTCCTGAATTCCTTCTTTTCTGATACAGGGAGTAGGGGAGCCGGGCCACAGCCTCCATCACCATCTCCACTCACACTTCTTCACCAGCTCTCCTGATGACTCCTAAGAGTGCCGATTTACCATGCCCTTCCCGAGGACCCAGCTCATTCCTCTCCATTGTTCATCTTGGCTCTGAAGCCAGAAAGCTGAGGGTCATCCTTGCCTCTCACAGCCTCCAAACAGTCAACCGCTTTGAGGCAAGGTCTCCCTCTGTACTACAGCCTGGCCTGCAACTCAACTCGGTGGCCCATGCTGACCTGGAATTCAAAAGGAGTCCTTCTGCCTCAGCCTCCAGTGTGCTGGGACCACTGGCCCACATCTGAGTGTGTGTGTGTGTGTGTGTGTGTGTGTGTGTGTGTAAGTGTGCATGCATTTGTAATGTTTATAATAGTTATTTTAAAGATTTGTTTACATTTAATGTGTATGTATGGTATGTGTACATGAGGTATCTGGACAGGAGAATGTGGCATCGGGTCCCTGCAGTAGAGCCACAGGTGGCTGTGAGCTGCTGATAGGGGTGCTGGAACCAAACCCTGGTCCTCTGCAAGAGCAGTCCATGTTCTTAGCTGAGCCATCTCTCCAGGCCCCCTGATTTTTATACTTTAATGTGCAATAAAACAGGCTTGGCTTCCAGATTCAGGGAGCTTGGGAAACAGCCTCTCCTGTTCTCTGGATTTCCATTTCTGGCACCAGGTGCAAAGCCTGAACATGAAGGAAACAGTAGCACTCTCACTCTCAAAAGTTCCAGAGTGATGGCTGATTGGACTGGAGAACACCCAGGAGATGAGTGAGGCACAGCCCGAGATGTCTTCGAGGACTAGCTAAGGGAGCGGACCTCCCGAATGTGGGCAGCGCCATCCCAGTGGCTGGGGTCCAGATGGCATAAAGGAGGAGCCAGCTCTCGCCACATCCCCTCTCTGCTTCCTGGTCATGGGATGTAAGCGGCCCTGCTTACATCCTTCCTGCCACGTGTTTAAGGGCATGGCAGCAGAGAAATTATTGACCAAACATTAATGCTCTTGTTATCTGAAAGATGATCTCACTATGCAGCTCAGGCCAGCCTCTACCCTGTGACACTCCTGCCTTGGTGCCACCATGCCTGGCTACCAAATCCTGAACAGGGAGAGGAGGGCTACTTTCATTCATCTTTGGCAGTGTGCTGCCGCACAGGAGGGCTCCCGGCCCAGGCCAAGCACAAATAAACCCGCTTCACCCCTAGTCCCTGGCTGATGATGTCTCATTGAGTTGTGGATGGGGATCCTCTAGGAGAGGATCAGCAGGCACCACCAGGCAGCCAGTCACTTCTTTCTGCTTCCTCTGCAGTGACCCTAGTGTGTTCTTTCCACCCAGATGTGCAGCCAGCCTGCCTGTCGTGGGGTATTAGTTTAAGATGTGTTACATTTGCTTATGCTGTGGAACATTTGTTTAAGGATGCAAAGATGTGTTGCATTCTTTTATGTTGCATTTGTTTGACTCTGTGGAGCTGTGTTACTTTGTCTGTCTTAAACACCTGACTGGTCTAATAAAGAGCTGAACGGTCAACAGCCAGGCAGGAGGAAGGACAGGCAGGGCTGGCAGGGAGAGAGAATCAGTAGGAGGAGAAATCTAGGGAGGAGAGTGAGGAGTGAGAAAAGGAGAAGGTGAGGAGGACACCAGGGGCCAGCCACCCAGCCACCCAGCCACCCACACAGCCACCCAGCCACCCAGCCACCCACACAGCCACCCAGCCACCCAGCCACAGCCAGCCACGGAGTAAGGAGGAAAGAAAGATACATAGAATAAAGAAAGCTAAAAAGCCCAGAGGCAAAACGTAGTTAAAGAGAGATGGGATAATTTAAGAAAAGCTGGCCAGAAACAAGCCAAGGTAAGGCGGGCATTCATAAGTAAGAATAAGTCTCCATGTATTTATTTGGGAGCTGGGGGGCGGGTCCCCAAAGAGTTAAAAAAAAAAAAAAACCAACTACACCTGCACAGAGTACTTACCAAAGGGCGGGGGATGGGCTTCTGGGGCTTCTTGGAGCCCAGCTTCTTCATGGCGTTGTAGTACTTCTTCTGTTCCTCTGTCATGAAGATGTCCTGACCTCCAAAGTAAAGGAAGGATGAGGAAAGGAGAATTAGAATCGGCTTTGGGAGCTGGACCGAGCGCCCACGGTCCAGAGGATGGAGAGGCTCTCCTTCCAAGGTCAGCCTGGTGGAGAGCGCTCCTGCAGGGGTCACTCCTGGGGCAACTACCCAGTGTCAGCTTGGGCGTCAGGGGTCTGCCAGGCCATGCAGTGAGACAGGACTGTCCGGCCACAGGCTCTCAGGGCAGGACGTGGAGAGCAAGGGACCAGAAGACAGTCACACCAAGGGGAATACAAATGTATTGTTTTGTTTTGTTTTGTTTTGTAATCCTGGATGGCCTGGAACTATGAAGAGAGATCTATCTGCCTGCTTCTGCCTCCTGAGCACCGGCGTTAAAGGTGTGCACCGACGCGCCCAGTGCACACCTCCCAAATACCAAAAAAAAAGATTTGGAGCGCTCACTTTTTATGAAATTTAACATTTGGAACTTGTGGTTCTTTCGACTCACCAGACAGACTGGACTTATAAACGAGAGTAAGTCTGTCATCCAGTTTTCTCTGGAAGAATCACGACCCATGTGGGGCAAGCGAGGGAGTGAACCCTGAGGGCCTCGAAATCCCACGGGGCCATGGGTGCCAGGGGTCACGTGACAAGCTCTGCCTCTCACCACAGCCCTCTGGTAGAAAGCCCCCCAGGAGTGGCCTCGGGAACGTGAGGAAGCAGGGAAACGTTTGGTAAACCACACACCGCCAAATTCAGCCCCAAGCCAAAGGGGTTGGCTGGGGCGCTAGCTGGACACAGCGGCCAGCGCTACCATGAGGTGGCAGTTTGAGCTTCAGAGAAAGACAGATCCTCTCTACAGACAAGGCCAGAGTGCCCCTCGTCTGGTTGACCTCTGACCACTGGCAAGGTGAGGAGGAGACCTATCTTTTTCTTCTGTTGATTGAAGTTATCAATGATGACGCCAATGAAGAGGTTGAGGGTGAAGAAGGAGCCGAAGATGATGAAGATGACAAAGTAGATGTACATGTAGATGTTGTCCTCGTACTTAGGCTGCTCGTCAGGCTGTGGAGGGACAGGGAGAGGTGCGCACGTCAGGTCCTGGCTCAGGGTCGGGGGGTTACCAGGGGGCCGACTCCAACACGCCAAAGCTACCGGCCCTGCTCTCCCTTCCTGCGGCTGACAAACTGGGGGTGGAGGCCTCTTTGTCTCTGCTCCCCGGGTCCACCTGTCCTTCAAGGGCACTGTCACTTCCGGGGATCGGGAACAGGGAGGTGAGGGGGAGGGAGGGCTGCTTCTACCCTTTCACTCGGGGCAGGCCTAAGGGCAGTCGCCGCCGCCAGGGTCAAGTGAACAGCATGAACAGCCATGCAGAGCCAGTGTGTGAGGAGGTAAAGGATCTACGGTCAACATGACAAGCAGTCAGTGTCCAGAGACACTTCAGGTCCTCCACTCGTCCCTTGACGGGTCTACCATGCAGTCCTCTCTGTCACTTAAGCTGGTCACAGCTCACCACCTGTGTCCTTCCTTACCTTCCGGGAATCTACAGCTGCGTACATGATGTCCATCCAGCCTTTGAAGGTTGCCTGGGAAACAGAGTCAGTCATTAGACTGTGCCTGTTAGGGAGTGGTCGGGAGTCAAGGCCGGGTCCTAACGGCCAGGCTTAAGTTTGGCAAGAATACAGGATGGGAGGTCAGGCAGGCGCACTGTACGTGGACACAGGATTCACTTTATCGAGGAAGATTCTAAGGAGGCTTTGAGATTCCCTGAAAATATGACCAAATCGACCTAGACAGCGCTGACTGGACTGACGTTTGCCTACAGGGCCTGAGAGCAGAGCCCACGGTGACACTGGGGACTGTCCACTGGAGTAGTTGGACTGCCACCAAGGAGCCACCTTTTCACAGGGAATTCAATAAGCAAGGGTCTAAAATCCTCACAGTTGCATTAAGCAGACAGACCTACAGGCTTGGAACTCCTCCTCACTAGGACACCATGCAGCCCTGCGATTGGCTTCTTCCCAGGCAGCCTGCTCTCCTTCAGCCTGCTCGAGCTGGCATGACGTAGAAAACAGCTCAACAGTCTCCAGCCATGCTGTGCTCACCCGGATTCCAGGCGTCGGGGGCCTCTTTACTCACTGGGTGACCTCCAGCACAGGTCTGTGCACACTCGAGTGAACACTTGCACTGGCTGCTGGCTGCACACTGGCTCTCTGGGGCCGCTCCGATTCCAGTCAGAAGCCCAACCTATTTCTTCTTTAATTAATTAGCTAACTATTTTGTGGTGCTGGGGATTGAACCTAGGGCCTTGTCCATGTTAGGCAAGGGCTCTCTACCCTTCCGTTACAGCTTAAACGCAAGG